GATTTAGCAATAAACAACGCCTGGGAATTAGTCTTTGTGTATTTTCTGCAGGGACAGCTTCGTCTGTTTTGAATTCGTTCTGAAGTCTAAAATTAGCTATCTTTGAGACTGAAAATACTGTTATTTTCCTGTGTCAGTAAAGAAGAATATTCTGGTATTACTTCTGTTCATCAGAATTACACAGCTTAAACAGAAATCATCTTCCTGACCATCCATAGCTAAATGTTTGCCTAATAAATGTAAAACACACCACCAAAAGGCTGTGGAAAGAAACCCATAGCTCTTCTTATTAGAGGCATAGCAGTGGCATCCAGAAAAAGCTATGGACAAAAAACAATCAGTTGTTTACAGTCAATAACCCCACGGCTTTGCCAAATGGGGCCCCCAACAAGAAGTCATGTGTCTGGTGTGTCGACCTGGTAAACACTAGTTGTCACTGCTGTACATTCTCATGCCCTCCTGCATATGATTATGGTCATGCTTAGGGTTAGGATGAGTTTCAGAGTCAGGGTTAGGGTTATAGTTACGGTTAAAGTCAGGATAAAGGTCAGGGCTAGGGTTATGACCCTGTAGAGCCAGGGTCTTCATTTCTATGCAGGACAGTGATGCTGTTCTTCCAACTCTGGTCTCTTCAATAGCAAACCTTCCTGGCAGTGTGGTCCCTAAGAAGTGTTCAAGGACAGGGTCTTCATTTCCACACAGGACAGTGATGCTGTTCTTCCAACTCTGGTCTCTTCAATATCAAACCTTTCTGGCATTTGTGGTCCCTAAGAAGTGTTCAAAGAAACTTTGAATTCTAGATACCAGTTCTGAATGGAGATGGGAGCTGGTACATAGATTATCACTGAAAAAAATCATGTTGCTTTCAAACTTCTTTTGACCTTTATAGAGTAAATTTTCTAAATCTGTAAGGTGTTTTGTGGAAGTATTCCTTATGCCTATTATTTGACATTCAAATGGGATCGTGCCTTCAAGTTTCCCTTAGATGCATTTAGTCTATTCGGTTTTCTGAGCTGAGAAATAAAAATAGATTTTTAACTTTCTCTTTAAATCCTGTAAGCCTTTAGATCAGTGCTATATTTCCAGATAACTCGTGCCACCCGTATAAATGTGAGAACCATTGATTGCTGTGGCATTCATGTAGAACAGATCAAATTCCAAACATGGTCCAAGGAGGGCAAACTGAAAACTGTGAGAGCAGAACATTTCATTATTTATGCCATGTTGTGTGCCAATCAGTTAGTGGCTCTTCACAGGCATCATGCCTGCAGGCTGGCATGGTTGGTGTGACAGTCTCTTTTAGCACTCTCATTTGGAAAGCATTCTGGAATGTGTGCATAAGAAAACCTCCAAACATACATCATCTCACAGTTCAAATTCATGAACATGTACCACTGAGAGGAAGAGTAATGGAATGTACACGCTAACAGGAGTCCCCATCAAGGAACTGAGTGCTAACACAATCCCCAGGTTCTAAGGGAAAGGTGAGCATGGTTGTCAGTCCACCATCTTGCTAAGCAACCACAAACAAAATTCATTTCACATCCTTGGATTTCCTGGTATATGTGGGGGACTGTGTCACCCCTAAATGGGAGAAAGACAGAAAAGTAAAGAAAAAGAAAATGAGGGAAGAGTGGAGGAAGAAAAGAGACCAAGGCAGACCTCTAAACAACCACTGGTATAAAAGATGAAGAACATTAACATTTGGATTGACAGGCCGGGGTTTCAGTAAGAAAAGAAAAGTCTGTTTTGATGCTGCACTGGCAATATCAGCAGAAACAGTTGATTGGGAAACATCTCATGAGATGGAAATGTCAGGACCATTTACAAAACAGGAAATTCCACATCAGACTGACAAGGATGATGGGAACTATACCATTCCACAGGTGTGTAACTGAGAACTGCAAGCCAAATTCGAAACAAACGAGTGGATATAAACTTGAGATACATTGTGGAAGAATATTTACATGAGTGTTCAGTGGATCTGGCTCCCTTTGGATTTTAGAACATGTCACCGAAGATGTGAACACAGAATGTTATGGACTTAGAACCAAGTCAAGAGAGCCAGCCAACCTGAAGCTACTGCCATGGTCTGGTCTCTACAGATGATCACTCCTTCAATCTAAAGCAATGCCTTGTTTACTCTTTCTTCCCTCATCCCTGCTGGTTTCTCCCCCACCTCGCTGTGCTTCAAGTTTTAAGCTGCATTATGTTTTTCCTTCTTTGTGGTTCCTTTCTACCCATCACTGCTGAATTAAACCAAACTTGTAAACACTGTCCATGACTTTTTTTAATGTTTCATTTTCACTTCAAAGTTCTGCTACATATTTTACACTTTTCCTTTTTCTTTTTTTTTTTTTTGTTTGTTAAGACATCGATAGCATTAAAAAAAGCACTTTGGCCCTCACTACTGCAGCCACAATGCCATTTTACCTGAATGGATCTCTTAGCACTATTTCTTACCAGGTAAAATATGTTTTTGTGGTGAGAGAATTCTTATAGTTAGTAAATCAAGGAAAATGATGTGGTCCTGTGAATAGATTTGGGGGACTTCTGGCTTTGGGAACTTCTTATGGAAGGCTAAGAGATTTACAGATAACAGATTTTTGTAATATTTAGGTATAGAATATAATAATGCAACAATAGCCACAGATACTAAGTGATATTCAGGGTCCAAATACAGTCAAACTCATTTTGATTGTAAAAATTTAGCTTTTCAATTTGCCTCCTGCTGCACAGAAGTAATACACCAGGCAATTCATTCCCACATTTGAGTCATTGTTAACCACAGTGGGAGGAAAGTGCGATGCAGGCCTTGGCTATTATATCCCACTCACAAGAAAGGGGAAGAAAATTATAGTGCAGAATGACCCATCAAATTTCCCTGACAGGTGCTAATTCATTTTGATCTATTCCTCACTGTAATTTCATTGGTGGTGGGGGGACATACATATTTATAAGTGTGGAAGCTGCTGCTGTTGCTCTGTTTATAATTTACAGCAACAAAGGATTCATTTATATTTCCATATTAGAAGTCCCAAGGTGACCCTACTGTGGATACCAGGCCCCCCTGCTGTGTAGGATTTCTAACATAATAAAGAATAAAGCAAAACAACACTACATCCTGACCTGGGCTCATGGGTAATCAGCTCACATATTTACTGTGAAAACAGTAACACTGTGCAAAACAGCAGCATTACTACAGTCTGCTGCAGGAACCCCTTGGGAGCTTGAGAAGGGCCTGCCTGGGAAGCAGTTGATTAATCAGAGTTACTGATGCTTCATTAAAGAGTTATTGTTTTAATTATAATTAACACTCAGTACTTCCTCATGGAGAAGGTGCAGGCAGATCTCTAGCACCATCTCTGATGACATGTGTGGTTTGCATGCTTTGTCAGCTGTGAGCAAACATGTGTGGTGAAACAGAGAGGCATGGGAGAGCAAGGATGGGGTCTGAATCCAGAAGTTGTGTTTAGTTTTATGTGCTATGCAAAACACTTGCACTCTATATGAATATCTTTCAGGTTAGGAGACTGACACCTTATCTATGTACTCCCCAGAATGCTCCAGGAGTTCAGCGGAGGGAATTCTTTTACTTAAAAAAATAAAACAAAAAACAAAAAACCACCCAAATTCCATGTGCTGCATATAAATCCTAGCGCATAGCATGACAAATAACGCATAATTAGGAAGAGGACTCTAACTGGAATTTCACTACACAAGACAGATACAGCTCATTAATAAACACATCAGATATGTTGACTATAACTAGTAGTTAGAGAAACATATATTAAAATGTAGTAAGATATCACTATACAGATGATAGGTAGATGGGTAGATGGAAGGATGGATAGACAGACAGATAGCTAGATTCAGATAACGAATACGTTGACAAAACCAAGTATTGACAATGATGTGGAGAAACTAGAAACCTCATGTAACAAGTTACAGCACTACTAACAGGGCGTATTCCATATTTTAGAAAAATATGGAATACACTCTGTTATAGGATCCCAAAGAGAACCCAGTTACTCTCCTAGGTATCCAGTTGAGACAAATGTCTGCTCAGACTTGTCTATAGTGTTTCTAACACAACTCAGAACAGTGATACAAATATCATCTGCTGGTCTGTGGACAGACAAAATGTGTCCATTGTAATCATCAAGAAGTGTCAGGAGCCAAGTAGCCTAACTGATTCTCATGGGAAAAAGCTGTGTACCTAACCTTCCGTTAACAGTTTCAATAGCAACCATTTTTCAACAAAACCACAGTATGTACCTTTTGATCAACTCCCTGAAACATGATGGTTTGCTGCATGGTCCGTTGATCAGGCCCTGGAACAAAGAGACCTTTTCCTGAACCCTACCTTACCCTAACTTCCTCCTAGTAACTTTCCATACCCCTATCTACTTCTCCTAGCCCCTAACATATATAAGCCTGACTCCCCCTTGTAATAAACGAGACCTTGACGCGACTCAGACTGATTTTGTCTTCCTTTTTGCACCTGGTCTCATTTCTCTCTCGCCCCCATTGATCTTTCAGGAGGTGCCTCCTCGGGTCTCACCCAATAACCTGACCTGCGGGACGGGTCAAGTGGCACCCACAACTTGGGGCTCCAGGCATGGTGACCTGCTGGACCGACAACGGAAGGGGCCCCAGAGAGGATCAGGGTAGAGACGCCCGGACCGCATCACTCATGCAACGTGGGAGAGTCTTGAGGTAAGAGTGTCGTCCCATCGATCATGGGTAAAAATTTATTTAAAGAGGCTCTTTTTCTCAAAGAGATGAAAGGTAACCTTAGGGAGAGAGGAATAAGAGTTAAGAAAAAGGACTTGATAAAATTCTTCTAATTTGTGGAGGAGAAATGCCCCTGGTTAGGGATTAACGGCCCAGGAATTCACCCTCTGACTTGGAACAAGGTTGGAAAAGATATTAACAAATTACTCAGAGACGGGGAAAATGTCTCTGACGCCTTTTTTAGTTTTTATGGTGTGATTAGAGATGTTTTAAAGGAAGCAGAAGGAGACGGGTGTGTTTCACATTTACTAGCCCTTGCAGAGGATTTTCTCTCAAACTCCTCCTGCCTGACACTGGATAATGAGTCTGGAGTCGCGGCGGCGGCCACTCCGTTAAAAAATGAAAGTAAAACAAGAACGGCTGCTTCTCCCCTAAAGGAGGCTCAAAAGAACATCAAGATCACAGGTGACCCTGCAGCCGCCCCGGTCTCCCCCTCTCTTATCAATGAGCCTATCCCTAATGAGCTAACACCCCCACTCAGCCAGTTGGAGGTAAAAACGAGCTCGATCTATGTTTTATGTTGTTGTGTCCTTGTCTTTTGTCTGGTTGATTTGGCGTTTGTATTCGGTGCCTGCAGAAGTGTGCAGGACTTGTGTCTGGGACTTGTGCAGGAGAGCAGACGTGCTCAAGGGTCCCCGGGTCCCCACTCTGGAGGTCTCCTCCGGAGTGATCTGAAAAAGGAGATGAGTCTCTCCTTCCTTTGGGGAGCGAGGCTGTTCACGGCCACTCCCATTTGAATTTGTGTTTTCAGTTTGGGCCTGTGGAGCCAAGTCAACTACCGCGCGGACTGTGTCGGTCCATTTCATGTTTTGTGTTATGTTTTATCTGTCTAATTCCCTCTACCCCACTTCCCCTTTATCTGCACACTCCCTCCTCCCCACCTTTTGGGGGCTGGTGCCGCAGGTCAAGTCCCCCTGACCGCTGCGTGCCACCTGTGCGCCAAGCTCCTGGGGCAAGAGCACACTGAGCCACTGAGCCCGAGGTCCCTTTCATCTGCGTTCATCTGCTGTAGCAGCCGCCGCTGCCGCCCATTGCTGGCGACGGCGGGACTCCTGCTGGCGGGCGGGACTTGCGCTCTTGCTGTCGCTGCTCCAGCGCCCTAGACTCGCCCCGACTGTCAGATTCTCCTGGTGGGTCTCAAAGGGGCAGGTAGACGCCCCCACCAATTTGGCTAAGGTAAAAAGATTTTCACACTGGGACGTCACAGATTTTTCCCCTCCACTCGATACTTCGGGCATGACCCTGATATTATTGTTATGCCATATGATAAAGAGCAACTTGAATGGTTATGCACCCGTAGTCCTGACTGGGCCATCCTTGTCTGCACCTATGAAGGAAAACTTGACACACAGATGCCCAGTAACAAACTCCTATAATTCTTCTGCCTTACTTCCTTTGTTTTTCTTAAAAATACCCGAATGAAGCCCATCCCGGACTCCCCTGTGCTTTTCATAGATGGGTCAAGTAATGGTAAAGCTGCTTATGTCCTCAATGGCCAAAAGAACGTTATGACAACCCCTTTCAAGTCAGCTCAGCTGGTGGAGCTATATGCTGCCCTCACTGTCTTTAAAAATTTTAAAGATCGCTCCTTTAATTTGTATTCAGACAGTAGATATGTGGTAGGGGCTTTACAGGCTTTGGAAATGGTCCCAATAATCCAACCCATTACTCCCACCTTCCAAATGTTTTCTGAATTACAAAAATTAATCCGACAAAGGTCGCTGCCCTTTTATGTTGGCCATATTCATGCCCACACAGGCCTACCTGGACCCCTAGCTCAGGGGAATGAACTTGCTGATTCTGCTACACATTCTATCTTGATTTCTCACTTGGAATATGATCAGGTAGCAATCGCTCGTGAGGCACACCGCCTTCATCACCTCAATGCTCAAACTCTGAGACTAAGGTTCTCAATTACTAGAGAACAGGCTAGGGAAATTGTAAAAAGCTGTAAAAATTGCCTGATGCTCTTACCTGAACCTCGTTATGGAGTAAACCCCAGAGGGCTTACACCTGGACAAATATGGCAGATGGATGTCACCCATGTTCCTTCTTTCAGCAAATTAAAGTTTATACATGTTACTGTAGATACCTTCAGTGGATTTATTTGTGCCTCCGCTCATAGTGGAGAAGCCACCAAAGATGTTATCAATCATATGTCACATGTCTTCACAGTGCTAGGTCAGCCGAAATGTATAAAAACTGATAATAGTCCGGGATATACTAGTAACAAATTTAGACAATTTTGTTTACAATTAGGAATTAAACACATCACTGGAATAACCTATAACCCTCAAGGCCAGGGTATCGTGGAGAGAGCCCACCAAACTTTAAAAAACACTCTTAATAAACTCAGCTCACAAGAGACACTATTTCCCCTTAAGGGAAACCACAAAGCTCTGCTTTCTCACGCCCTATTTGTATTAAATTTTCTGACATTGGCTGTTTTTGGAAAATCTGCTGCTGAGTGACACTGGCACCCAGAAACCAAACAAGGATATGCACAGGCCCTTTGGAAAGATCCAATAACTGGAAAATGGGGCGGTCCTGATCCAGTTATAATCTGGGGAAAGGGGTCTGCATGTATTTATGACTCCAAGGAAAATGGGGCTCGTTGGCTACCAGAAAGACTGATTAAGCCTTACTCTACACAGACTGCCTCCCTAGACTAAGGAAAAAATAACTGTTATGTCCAAGATACAACCCTGAGACAAAAATTCTCTTTTTTTCTTTCAGAAATGCCTCCGGCTTGGAAAATAAAGGGAGCCACGGACATCTCAATGGCAGGACCTGTTTGTTGCGGGCCTTGAGAAACCAACCCCTACTTCATCATTTGCTTACTACTCTTCCCCCTTCCCCTCTCCTGCATCTCCGAGGAAAGCCCCCATGCTATTAAAAAGCTTACCTGGCGAATTTTCACAGAAACGGGGGAGGAGGTCTGGAGGGTTACTGCAAACCATGCTCCCTATTCCTGGTGGCCGTCACTCACTCCCGACTTCTGTCAGCTGGCTGCAGGATTGGATTCTTGGGATATACCTATTATTGACCAACATCAGTTAAATGGTACAGCAGGTCAAACGATTCCAAACTGCAATCAATTTCCTCGCAGTCCTAAAACCACTTGGTCAAGCCCTTGTGGGACATTCCATGATAATAACCCTGCCGTGATGACCGCCCCAGGCTGTGTTAGTCCTACAGCTCGTTGTAGGTTAGCACAATCTGACTTTTATGTCTGCCCTAAGGACGGTAGAAGCCAAGCCACGGCTGCCAGATGTGGGGGATTTGAGACCTTCTTTTGTGCTCGATGGGGTTGTGAAACTACAGGGGCAGCTTACTGGAAACCAACTTCATCTTGGGACCTTATTTCGGTTACAAGAGGATACAGTAAGCCTAGCACGAATAGACATTTTTGCTTTAGCTCCCATACTTGGAAAGCCCATAATCACGGGCTATCATTACCTTTAAACATAACCTTCACTCCTCAGGGTAGGGCAAATCGAGAATGGCCCTCGGGAAAAACATGGGGACTCTGCTGGTATCTTGATGGCACAGATAAAGGAGTCACTTTCAAGATCTTACTAACAATAGAAAACCTGTACCCAAAGTTGGAAGGGCCCAACTTAGTTCTTTCTGACCAAAAGGTTCCCTCCAATCATGAAAAGGTGCCATCACCTCCTCCTCCTTCCCCCTCACCTCATCCTCGTCCCTTTCCCAACCATACATGACTACCATTGTAGACTCCAGTAACGGCACTCTCCTTACTCCTTTTGGGGGAACAGGAGATAGATTGTTTAATTTGGTCCAGGGAGTTTATCTGGCCCTAAATGCTACAAATCCAAACCAAACCTTGCTGTGGGATGTTCTGTATGGCAAATGTGTTGCTGATTAGTCATTAAATAAAACACTGATTGGCCATTGGCTAGGCAGGAAGTGTAGGCGGGACAAGGAGGAGAATAAAGCTGGGAAGTGGAAGGCTGAGTCAGAGAGACACTGCCAGCCGCCACGATGAGAAACAGCATGTGAAGATGCCGGTAAGCCACGAGCCATGTGGCAAGGTATAGATTTATGGAAATGGATTAATTTAAGCTGTAAGAACAGTTAGCAAGAAGCCTGCCACGGCCATACAGTTTGAAACCAATATAAGTCTCTGTGTTTACTTGGTTGGGTTTGAGAGGCTGTGGGACTGGCGGGTGAGAGAGATTTGTCCTGACTGTGGGCCAGGCAGGAAAACTCCAACTACAAATGGCGCCCAACGTGGGGCAAGAGTTTCCACCTAAAAACTGAGAAAAAAAGATTCTAAAATGGAGCTAAAAACAGCTTCCTAATTGTCTCTCTCAAATGAGCGGCAGCTGCCGGTTTGAGCTACTGGTGGGTTCCTAGAATACACCCGGTGGCGGGAATGAGGCCTCTGAAAGTGGCACATTAAGCTGCATGGTGAATTTAGCTTTTTCTAGTACAAAACAAAAAAAAGAGGTTTCTGGGCTACAAGCTGCTTGGATAAAAGCATAGACCCACATAGCTCCCAGAGCTGGTGGTAAACGTAGCCACGTTGGGAAGCTGAGGTGGGCGGAGCCAGCAGCCACAGCTGCTGTAGTTTAAGGCAATAGATTCACAATAAGACAGATTCAGATGTAATAGTTTACAATATGTGTAAAATATACGTAGGCTTAAAAGAGACAAAAAAGGTGATATATAGAGTTATAGAAACAAATACATAGTTTTAAAAAATAAAGTCTTTAAAGAGACAGTAAAGGTAGTATAAAAAATAAGCCACGTAAAAATGGATATTACACAGAGAATCTGCATTGTCTTGTCTTTGGGACTTTTAACTGCAGAAAAACATTTCATTGTAAAAGCTGTTGAGTTACGCCAAAATGTATATTTTAAAGGTATCTTGACTTCAAAATTTGAATGTAAGGATATGTTACTTTGGAAAGGAGACTCTGCTTTTGTTTCCACAGAAAGCCAGAGGCTATGGATTTGTTCCAGATTAAGATACATCAGGTTTGACCAGCCAAGACCCCCTGAAAGGTCTCCGATGACACCATGGCCCAGATGATCCAACATCCAGAATGGTTTGATGGCAACTGGCTCAGACGATACACCCTCATGGACTTTTCCATGATCCTAAAATTTTCTTTGTATCCCCATAAGATACAGCGCCCCCCTCCAGCAGGAAGTAGTAAGAGAAGCTACGCCCAAATTCCCAAATTATATGTAATTTTACTTTGTTAAGGTTAAAACCTTCCTTTTTTTTTAAAAAAAAAAAGGGGGAAGTGCTGTGGGATGTTCTGTATGGCAAATGTGTTGCTGATTAGTCATTAAATAAAACACTGATTGGCCATTGGCTAGGCAGGAAGTGTAGGCGGGACAAGGAGGAGAATAAAGCTGGGAAGTAGAAGGCTGAGTCAGAGAGACACTGCCAGCCGCCACGATGAGAAACAGCATGTGAAGATGCCGGTAAGCCAGGAGCCATGTGGCAAGGTATAGATTTATGGAAATGGATTAATTTAAGCTGTAAGAACAGTTAGCAAGAAGCCTGCCACGGCCATACAGTTTGAAACCAATATAAGTCTCTGTGTTTACTTGGTTGGGTTTGAGAGGCTGTGGGACTGGCGGGTGAGAGAGATTTGTCCTGACTGTGGGCCAGGCAGGAAAACTCCAACTACAAAACCTTGGGTTGCTGGCTCTGCCTTGCCTCCAGTCCCCCTTATTATGAAGGAATTGCCTTTCAGTCTACTGCCAATAACCTCACTTCCCCGAGCAATAGGTGTCAGACTAAGCCACATAAGCTAGCACTCCCTGAAGTCTCTGGACGAGGTTCTTGTTTGGGCAAGATTCCATCAACCCATAGCCACCTCTGTAAACAAACATTGACACCCTATAAAGGGAGCTATTATCTCGAAGCCCCCAACGGGTCCTACTGGGCCTGTAACACAGGATTGACCCCTTGCGTATCTGCTCAGATATTTAATGATTCCCATGAATTTTGTGTGATGGTCCAGTTATGGCCTCATGTCACTTATCATCAAGAAAGCTCAGTGATGAAATTCTTCGAGCAGAGAGGCAGATACACTCGAGAACCTGTGTCTATGACTATTGCCCTCTTGTTAGGTATTGGGGGCATCGCTACAGGAATTGGTACAGGAACTACTGCCCTCGTGCAGAGCAACCACCTTATGCAGTTACAAATGGCTATGACTACTGACCTAGAGGCCATAGAAAGATCCATTTCTGCTCTGGAGAAGTCTTTAACCTCACTCTCTGAGGTTGTGTTACAAAACAGAAGAGGTCTGGATTTACTATTTTTTTTTTTTTTTTTTTTTTGGTTTTTTGAGACAGGGTTTCTCTGTGTAGCTTTGCGCCTTTCCTGGATCTTGCGCTGTAGACCAGGCTGGCCTCGAACTCACAGAGATCCGCCTGGCTCTGCCTCCCGAGTGCTGGGATTAAAGGCGTGCGCCACCACCGCCTGGCTGGATTTACTATTTTTAAAGGAGGGGGGATTATGTGCAGCCTTGAAGGAAGAATGCTGCTTTTATGCCGATCACACTGGGGTAGCTATTATCTCGAAGCCCCCAACGGGTCCTACTGGGCCTGTAACACAGGATTGACCCCTTTGGGTAGACAGACATTTATGTCCTGCCAGAAATTCCCAGATACCAGGCAGCTGCTTCTAAAATTACCACACAGAGGCTTATATTAATTATAAATGCTCAAAAGTGATTCCAGAGAATCAATGGAGAAACTAAGAGAAAGATTGGCACAAAGAAAACGTGATTTTGAAAATCAAAACAATTGGTTTGAGGGCTGGCTAAAGGGGTTCCCTTGGCTTTCTACTCTGATCCCTACCCTCTTGGCCCCCTTGATCATTTTCCTTCTCCTCCTCACCTTTGGTCCTTGGGCTTTTCAACTACTAACACAATTCATCAAAAATCAGATCGATTCGGCCCTATCAAAAACCGTTTCAGTACACTACCATCGGATAGAAACTCGAGATCAAACTATTGAAACAGGTGAAAGGCTCAGGTTCAGTGGCCTACGAACCTAAAAACCCCTACAACTAAAAGCTAGAGGGTACTCAATGACGGGAATAGTATGGGGCCTGTGCTGGGAGCACAACGTACAGAGGTCGCCAGAGACCAGCTCAACATGGCACGTTGCCAGACACAGGACGCACCCCATACAGCCTAAGACAGGGGCCCTCTCGATTTATGACCAAAGCCTGCTTTGGCCATTTTATAGAAAGAAGGGGGAATTGTCAGGAGCCACGGAGCCTAACTGATTCTCATGGGAAAAAGCTGTGTACCTAACTTTCCGTTAACAGTTTCAATAGCAACCATTTTTCAACAAAACCACAGTATGTACTTTTAGATTAACTTCCTGAAACATGATGGTCTGCTGCATGGTCTGTTGATCAAGCCCTGGAACAAAGAGACCTTCCCTGAACCCTACCTTACCCTAACTTCCTCCTAGTAATTTTCCATACCCCTATCTACTTCTCCTAGCTCCCAGCATATATAAGCCTGACTCCCCTTGTAATAAACGAGACCTTGACGCGACTCAGACTGACTTTGTCTTCCTTTATGCGCCTGGTCTCCTTTCTCTCTCGCCCCCATTGATCTTTCAGGAGGTGCCTCCTCGGGTCTCACCCAATAACCTGACCTGCAGGACGGGTCAAAGAAGACTTTAATGGGCTGAGATCAGGAGTATAGCTCAGTGGTACAGTGATTGCCTAACATGCATAAGGCTCTGGGTCCAATCCTTAGCAATGAAAAAGACAC